GATTGTTAGATACCTCGGTTTTTTTCTTTTTTTTTCTGTTATTTTTGTTAAATTACTTATGCAATTTGAGATACTGATTTAAGTTTTTTTGTGTCTTTTTTTTTCTTTCTTATTGTATTTTTTTAGTGGCACAGCTTGAATTGGGTTTGTCCTGCGCTGTGTCCCGTGAGCGTAAGTAAATAAATAAATAAATAAACTGCAGTGTGTTGGCCACCCTGTACATAACCTCAGATATCTCAAAATCCTGACGTGGTGGTCCAATTCTGAGCTCGGATTATGATTCTACGCAGAAAATTATTTCGGAAATGACTCCCAGCTGACTTGTAAAGTAAGCTAACCTAAAATGTTTATTTATTAATCGACACCTAGCGCCATCTAATTTGTAAGTACCAAACTAAAAATATGGAAAGAATTTAAATGAATTATGTTATTACTATTTTTAAAGATAAAAATGACTAATTTAATAATAATATATAAAAGAATCAAGTAGTTTAATGATCCTAGTCTTAAAAAAAAGAAAAGGGGGTTAAGAAAATGACGTTTCTAATATTTTTTTATTACTAAATTTTAATGGAAGTTTGATCGATAATCGCACAAATTTGTAATAAGATTTTAAAGTTGAAATGGAGACGGCAATCGTAACCGAAAAAAGACCATTAAAAGGGAAATTATCCCTTAACAAATCCCCAAAATCGGAAACCTCCGAAATCACGGTAAAAGAATTTTTGGATTTCCTAAAAACCGCTTATCAAGTCCAAGAGAACATCGAGGGCATCTTAAAGAACGAAGGGCACACGGAAATCGTCGATTGGTTAGAATTGAAACAAAATAACTTGATTAAACCGAAAGATATCGCAATACAAACGTCAGATATAAAAGTAAACGCCACCGAAAAGAAACAGCCCCTACAGTATTTCGAAATTTGCAACAACGAATCGGTCGAAATCAAACGGAAATTAAGCGAAATATTATCAGAAGGAATCTTTGATAGCGTACTATCGTTTTTGGTGCCTCAAAATATATCCAACATCCAACGAAGATCATCGATCGCCAAGATGCAAGGATGCTCGGTTAATTTTAACCAAGAATTCGAAAAAAATCCCGAGAAATTATCAAAAAGCAAATCGATGGACACCTTAAGTTTAACCTCAAAATTAATTTTAACACCAATTAAAGCCGATTCGGAAGTCGAANGCTATCACGGCCGGTGTTAATTAAACTAAAACTAATACTAGACTTAGAACTAGAAATTTTCGGATGCTATGTTGCAACCTTTTTCAGAAACAACGAAATCGGTTAAAGTTTGACACTAAATACAATGTGTTAATTAATTATTAGTATTGCAATACGCGATTTGCGTATTCAGATATATTCAGTGTGATATTGGTTGCATACTTGCAATGATGACGTTGGGTACGATAATTAATTAACACACTGTATATTAAAAGGTAATTAATAACCAGGGTTCGCCCGATTTAAATGACTTGGTTTAAAACACGATTTTAATTAATGATTTAAATCAAGTAATTCTTTTATATTAATCAATAATTTAAATCAAAAGAAAAATGAAAATAAATACAGAGTGTTAATTAATTATCGTGCCCGACAAAGTATCACCAAAACGAATTCAAAACGTATCACGAAATTCATCAAATCTTCATAATTTCGTATTTTTCTCAATATCTATGTATCTGAGAGCAAAAGTACAAGAGAGCAATATTGCTAAGAATAAAATTTGCCACAACTATTGTTCTAAAAGTTTTCTTGTAAGACGCTTCAATTCCCAAGTGTGACCGTTATCTAATAAAACAACGAAATTCATCAAATTTTCATAATTTCATATTTTTCTCAATATCTATGTATATAAGAGCAAAAGTGTAAAAGAGCAATATTGTTAAGAATAGAATTTGCTACAACTTATGTTCTAAAAGTTTTTTTGTAATATGCTTCAATTCCCAAGTGTGACCATAAATCTAGGAAAACAAAGAAATTCATCAAATTTTCATAATTTCGTATTTTTCTCAATATCTATGCATCTGAGAGCAAAAGTACAACAGAGCAATATTACTAAGTATAAAATTTGCTACAACTATTGTTCTAAAAGTTTTTTTGTAAGACGCTTCATTTCCCTAGTGTTACCATGACCTACTTTGAAAACAACGAAATTCTACCAATATCACAAATTCATTAACTTTAAAAGCCGTTTAAAATATCGGCGCCATACAAGAAAAGTGACATATCTCAAAAATTGTTATTTTGCAGAGAATGGTTTGAAAGATTACTGCTCACGTGTATGTACAAAAACCAAAATGTATGCGAATTTTTCATCTTTGTTTGTAACAATTTCATAATATAATGGGCTACGAAAATAGTTATTTATGTACCAAGTCGGCAAAGTGATGTTTTATCGAACGAGTCTGAGTTTGCGAGTCGAGCGAGCGAGGCGAGCAACAGGCGAGTTCGATAAAGACACTTTGCTGACGTGTTGCATACAACATTTTATCGCCAACCGCAAAATTTAA